AATAGCTTTTGAGATTCTTGGAGATGATTTTTGATATTTTTGATTAAGATGATTTATTATATATGTAGAAATTATTGTAAAATATTTTTCAAAAATATAAAATTATTTATGATATGTTATAATCATCTGTGCACGGTACTTGTTGTATGTTGGTTTTCCTACTTACCGTGGGTCCTTGTTTGGTTTTGTGTTTTACCAAACCCAGGCTGGAACAAAAATTCCCCTCTGCATTGCATGCCACTTTCACTTTGATTGATCCTCAGATTTTATGGCAGTGTCCAGATGCTTGATCTCTCGGTTTTACGGTAGCCGTCTGTATAGATTTATGGCTCTTTTGGGCCCCATCTTTTTCTATTCCACTGTGGGTTTGGTAAAACAATGGAGCAAATGCTAGACGCAGATTGAGTGGTGGTTTCTGTCACCTGGGGATCAGTTGGGAATCGCAGGCGATCTCCAGCCTCCACCTGGAAGTTGGCAGTCCTAAGAAAGGAGGGGGGAAAGTAAACCTTCTGGCCCTGAGGGCACAGACGGAGCTATTCCACGTCTTTGCTCACAGTAATTAGCTTGAGGAATTCACTACCAAAGGATGTAACAGCCAGGATCTGAGCTGACTTTAAAAGGGGATTAGACAGACTCATGGAGGTCCATCCATGGCGATCAGTCGTTAAGACCAAATGGAACCTCCATGTTCAGAGGCAGCCCACTTCTGAAGGTCAGTGTTGTGTGGGGCAACAACATAGGGGAGTTTCAGTCTCCGTGCCCTGCTGGTAGCCTTCTGGGAGCATTTAGTTGGCCCCTGTGGGGCTGGGGAGAGGTTAGACCGGTCCGGCAGTGCCAGTGTGGTGGAGTGGACAGAGCAAGTCATGTCCATCAGAAACCCTGTGCAATACCTGTGTTCAAATTCCCACTTCTACAAAGGAAGCTCACTGAGTGACCTTGGGTCCTTCAGAAACTATCAGCTTGGCCTACCTCACAGGGTTGTTGTGAGAGTATAGAGGAGTATGGAGGAGCCCCACTTGGGGGGGTGGGTGGGATATAAATAAACCCAGCACATGCAATGCGAGACTGTTCTTATATTCGTACAAATTCAGTATTGCTGGTATTGAATAAAGCAGACATATTGGATCAGCCCTGCACCCTTGTTCTAGCCTTACCACTACAGGAATATTTATTTAATTTGGCTTCATACTATGATTTGCAGCTGCTCACTAGGATTTCAGGTGGAAGAAGTCTTTCCCAACACTAGCTGCTTGAGATAACTTCACTGGAAATGCTTGGGTCTGAACCTGGGACTTTTCTGCATACCAAGCATGGGTTCTGTTGAGAGGGCGGGGTAAAAATCTAATAAATAAATACGACACAACTTCTTTCCTTGATGAGTGTATAGTTGTAGCTGGCCATCTCCTATCCATGCTGTTTCCAGCACTGGAACTATTTAGGGTACATCTGTACAGCATGTATAAATGACCAAATTAATATTTTAAGACTCACTTCAATCATTTATGTTTTTATTAATATTCGATTGGCACTAATGACTTCGCAGGTCAGGCGTTTCCTGCTGTGATTAATAAGCTTGCTTCCAAATCATTTTCTGTGCTCGAGTGGACTTCTGCCTCCGGGGGTGGGGGGGGTGGGATTGAATGGGGCACTTCCTGGAAAATCTCTCCTGGAATTTCCCACCACGCAGCAGTCATCTTTCAAGAGCCCCTGGCATCCTTACAAGATTGACTATCTCACTTTCTGTAAGCAACCAGAGAAGGGAACATGGTTCTGGGATCAGGGAGATCCATGGGGAAGAAAGCAGTCTGGAGTGCTGGGAAGTCAAAGTTCAACCGAGTTCAGTTTCCATATATGCAAAATTACACAATCAGAATCCTGCCGTCCTTCTCATGTATCTCAGAAGGCTGGCGACCTGCGTCTGTAGGGAAGGCAGTTTCCTGACTGAGGTGAGGACGAAAGTCTGGCAAGCTGTCTTGGCTGGCTCTCTGGTGACCTTTTCATGCTGCCAGGTGAGAATTCTGGAGTCCTTTGTGCCACGGATTTTAACGTTCCCCCGGGGGTTTTGTTTGGAGTCTGTTGTGGGGGGGTTGGGAGGGAGGGCGGGCAGGCAGGCACACAAGCAACCTCTTTTAGGGGCAAGGAGTCCTGGATGTTTAGGTCCTTTGTGAGAGTCTTTGTTCTGAGGGGATCGAAGGCTGTCAGAAAGATCATCCATCCTAGCACTGGAAAATGCAGGCAGCTGAATTTGGCTAACATACTAAAATTGATTGTATAAAATTGTCTCTTGTCTAATACACATATTAAATTGTTACTTGTATGAACTATCAATACAATTCTGATTTTAAAAAGTCTGATGGAACTGCTTGGTCCTTGTTCATTATTCCAGTATCTTGGCACTCAGTGAAAGGTGGGAACATGCTTGGTGTAGTGGTTTGATGTAGAGCCAGTTTGGTGTAATGGTTGGAGTGCAGACTCTAATCTGGGAGAACTGGGTTTGATTCCCCACTTCTCCGCATGCAGCTGCTGGTGTGACCTTGGGCAAGCCATAGTTCTGTCAGAGCTGTTGTCTCAAGAGCAGTTCTTGGGAGAACTCTCTCAGCCCCACCTACCTTTCAGGGTGTCTGTTGTGGGGAAGGGAAAGGAGATTGTAAGCCACTCTGAGACTCTGAGTGAAGGGCAGGGTATAAATCCAATCCCTTTTTCTTCATTGCTCCTTATTGTACGACCATGTAGAATCTCTCCGGCATGGTTTTCCATGTAGCTATGGAAGAGAGCCCAACTTGCTTGGAGATGCATGGATGGATCTCTCATATATGAGGGCACTGGGACTGGGAAACATCATCCTGACGGATAGGCATGGCTTTGGCAGTCAGGAGGGAGAGTACAGAGTCTCTTTGATGTACTTTGTGCAAAGTGCTAGTTTGGTGTAGTGGTTAAGTGTGCGGACTCTAATCTGGGAGAACTGGGTTTGATTCCCCACTCCTCCACATGCAGCTGCTGGCGTGACCTTCGGTCAGTCACAAGAGAGCTGTTCTCTGAAGAGCAGCTTCTCTCAGAGCTCTCTCAGCCCCACCCACCTCACAGGGTGTCTGTCGAGGGGAGGGAAAGGGAAGGTGATTGCAAGCCACTCTGAGAGTCCAAGTGAAGGGCGGGGTATAAATCCAATCTCTTCTTCCATCAAACAGCAGACCTACAGGGGACCCCGTAGGGTTTTCAAGGTATGGTTTGCCATTGCCTTCCTCTGCACAGAGACCCTGGATTTCCTTGGTGGTCTCCCATCCAAATACTGACCAGGGTTAGCTTCTGAAAACTGACACGGTCAGGCTAGGCTGCGCCATTCAGGTCAGGGCTTTGATATACGAGCACCTCTTTATTGGCTGAAGGAGTTCTGGTGGGCCCAGGCTGTCAGAACCCAAGACTCAGATTGGCTTAAGACCTCTTTACACGTGTGGGAGAGAAATTTGAAAAGGACGTGTTCTTTCTTCATTGTGTATGTGTGTGAGAGAGACTGTGGGGGAAAGGCGCATGACCGTGCAAAGGGAGAGGAGAGCAGATGTCCAGCCTTCCAGGTATTGCAAGTTCCAAATTAGGTTAGTCTTTCACTGTTTCATTTATTTCATTAGTCTCCGTGCCATCGCTCTGAACCCTGGTGCAACACGCTCTAGCATTATGCTAACAGAATAAAGCTTGCATTTGTTTAAGGTATAAAAACTGGCTGGATTCCTACCTGCATGCCTTGGCTGTGGTCAGTATTACCTGGAGAGCTTTGTCTGATGGTCCTGCTGCCCGTCAGACTGAGTGGGAAGGGGGCAAAACCCGGAGGTGGGAGCAGACAGAGGGAAAGCCCCTCCCCCAAACCCTGTTGAAGAGTGGACGGAAGCTGTGAAGGATCCTGACTGAGGATAGGGTGGACTTTCCCTCTAGTTCCTGAGAGTGGCCTGGCAAGGAGCATTATTGGACCTTCCTTTCCAAAGGGATAGCTGCGGGGGGACCCTGAATTGGCTCAGGCGTGGGGAGCAACAGGTCAAAACTGGCTCCCCTGCTGTTCTGCGCATGTTTCTTCCCACCCTGTGCAGCAACCTTTGACGCTTTCCTCCAGCCAAAGGAACCTTCTTCTTTCGATTAAAGTTTTTATTAAGGAACAACAAGAGAAATAACAGAACGAAGGAGAAGAGAGAGAAACTATATAAAATAAAAGGAGGCATCCGATTTTCTCTGGGACAAACACAAGTATGATTACTAAATATTCTCTTACTTTGCAAAGAAAAGTTCTGGGTTCCCCCCCCCCCCATTGTTGTCTAAATTCCTTATTCACCAGATCCACAAATCATCAAATCGCTATTATCTGTTTCACGCCAAAGGAACCATCTTTCAGCTTAAGCAGCCCTTCTTCTGCTGCTGGAAGCCTTGCTTACGGTGGAGGAGGCCTTCAGACGTTGCAGAGTGAAGCGGCAGGGTGCAGACCAGTGCTCCCTCTAAGCTGTGGAGTCTTCTGAGCAAAAGTACTGCTTTGTGAGCTACTGGCATTAAAGTTGTGAGTGAGCGATTTGGCTGCTGCATAAATGAGTTTGCTCTGGCTCCGTCCTTCCTGAGCTAAGACAAAAATGTGTGAGCCAGAGGCTAAAAAACTGTGAGCTAGCTCACACTAACTCAGCTTAGAGGGAACACTGGTGCAGACTGCTTCTGGAAGGCAGCAAAAACGAGCAAAGAGAGAGCGCCCATTGTGCCCCCATCCTGTTCAGGGCTGTAACAATGCAGAGGTGTTGGTTTTGTTGGCAAAAATGTATGGAGGAGAGAGATGAATCCTTCCTCTCCCTGCACTGCAGCCAGCCCCCTGTATGAACGGGGAGCCCTGCATCTCCTTCCATCTGGCTCTCCGATGAACTAGAACTGTATTATTTTCATTTTAATGGAAGCTAAATAGTCAAGTCCCAGCCCCTCTCCCTGCTGACTACAGCTATGATGACTGCCTAATCCTGTGATTTTCTTTTCCTAGATTGTACCGAGCTCGGACATAGCTGTTACTTTCGCCCACTCAACTGTAAAGAGTCCACGGGTCCTCCTCTGCTCTTGCTCCCCCCCCCGCGCAAAACGAAAATGCATCCGTTTCTACTCCATTCCCTTCTCAGTGCTGAGCTCTGTTGGCGCCAGTGGAGAAGGAAGCACCTTCCCATGCAGTTTTCTGCTGCTGCTGAGAAGGTGAGAATGGGGACGTCGTTGCTGGCCAATGTGTGCTCCCCCTTGTGATCTTGTTTTGAAGAAGAAGAAGAGATTGGATTTATACCCTGCCCTTCACTACCCAAAGGTGTCTCAGAGCAGCTTACAAACTCCTTTCCCTTCCCCTCCCCACAACAGACACCCTGTGAGGTGGGTGGGGCTGAGAGAGCTCTGACAGAAACTGCTCTTTTTCAAGGACAGCTGTGCCAGAGCTTGTGACTGACCCAAGGTCACATCAGCAGGTGCAAGTGGAGGAGTGGGGAATCAAACCCGGTTCTCCCAGATTAGAGTCCGCACACTTAACCACTGCACCAAACTGGCTCTCTTTTGGATATGGGGGCCTGGCACACAACCCCATCCCTTCTTCAAGAGAACGGCAGCATCTGCAGCTAAGGTCCTCTCCCAGTCTCTGATCTCCCCCATCTGCTCTCCTCCCCCCATTTTCTTCCCACTGCCAAATGATCAACTGCAAGCTCCCTCAGGCAGGGACCGGTCACTATTCTGCTATTCTTCAAAATGAACATGTGTTCATAGAATCAAAGAATTAGAAGGGATCTCCAGGGTCATGTAGTTCAACCCCCGGCACAATGCAGGAAATTCACAAATACTCCCCCACCCCCAATGACCCCTGTTCCATGCCCAGAAGAGGACAAAAAACCTCTAGGATCTCCAGCCAAACTGGCCTGGAGACCAATTGCTTCCTGAACCCAAAGTGGTGATTAGCATTTCCCTGGGCATGTAAGAAAGGGCCACAAGAACTAAGCACTGAGGCAACCCTTCCTGCCCTCCCTCTCATGATCTGTTGATGAGGCTGTATAAATGCCTGCTTTCTGGCTTCCCTGGGAACACCTACTGGAGCATGCAGCAAATCTAAAACTTTGTATGTTTGTACCTGACAGCATAAATGTCTCATGCCAAGTTCCTTTGTTCTAATTTATATCATAGACCTACCTGGAATCTGACCAGGGCCTCCAGACCTGTGTCCACCACCAGATGTCTATTGCAGCCCTGAAGCTGGTTTAATAGCCATTTCCACTCCCCCGGGGAAATTTGGAGGCTGTACTTCTGTCCAAGGTGAATAGAAGAATAGCAACTTTAACAGAAGATACTGAGCATCCTCTTCAAACTACAGCTCCCAGGGTTCTTTGGAGGAAGCTCCAGGTGTTTTAATTGTTGTTCAGGGAAGGTGGTCCTGACCTGGATGGCCCAGGCTAGCCTGATCTCATCAGATCCCAGGAGCTAGGCAGGCTTGGCCTTGATTGGTACTTGGATAGGAGACCGCTAAGGAAGTCCAGAGTTGCTACACAGAGGCAGGCAATGGCAAACCATCTCTGTCTCTGGCTTTTAAAAACCCTGTGAGGATCTCCAGGAGTTGGCTGCCTCCGTCTCCTCCACCACCACCACCAACAACAACAAATAAGGTGCTTTGGGCACGATGCTTTTCAGCACCCTCACACTGATTGTACCACCTTCTGGTGTGTGTGCTCTCCTGGCGTCTGCAAACGCTGGCTTGCAAAATTCTTGCAAATTTGGGGGCAGTGCACCGGGAGTGCAGAGTCCGGGGAGGAAGCTCAGCAAGGATGTGAAGCCATAGGGTCCACCATTCAAATGTGCTGTTTCCTGATCTCTTGATCAGTTGTAATTCCCAGAGAAGTCCGGGCCCCACCGAGAGGTTGTGGTAACCTTGCTTGGAGTAGGGAGGAGAGCCCGACTCTCTTGCATTAGTTTAAGTCCCATTTGTGACAGCTGGGCTCAAAAGGGATTGCTGGGACTTCAAGCAACATAGTGGGGTTACGCTCCATCTCTTCCTCCTGTCTCACCTGCTGTCAGAAAATGGGGGACTGCGTTCAAGGCCCCTGCAATGTTGTGCAGGTGTCTGTGGAAATCTGTTCTTGATGGAAGCGCTGTTCTTGATGAAAGGGCTGTGGTTGTGGGTGGGACCTCTGCTGGAATGTTACCCTCAGCAGGTATCCGACCATTGATGACAGCTCTGGGAAGCTGACAGTTAAAGTGATACACAACCTCAATAGCTTTAGCCTTGGCTTTGAAACAGACATATTCCACCAAGAAGTTGTATTGTGTACATGCTCAACAGGCTTTTTCCAGCCACCTGCATCCGTCTCTAGCTTTTGGTCATGTATCCATAAATGCCAAGCCCAGTTCCTGGGGTTCCAGAGGAGGCATTTGACTGGTAATCTCATTTTTTGGATAGATCACTGTGCAACCTCTGCATTTTAGTGTTCTGTTGCATACTCCAAATGTCCCGGTCAACTGTGCACCCCTTATGAATACCCTTCCTCCATGAAACCGTTATAAACATTGATTCCTAGTTCCGTCTTGGTTCAGAGTCCCCCAGCCTCCTGCATTCAGGTGCCCAACCAGAGTGTCTTGCTTTGACACACAGTGTCTCCTCCCTTTAGACCCATTTAGGTGAAAGTCTTCTTCCATTGGAAAAACAAGAACCCAGCTTGTCCCTTCCCTCCCAGCAGCTGAGCGGTTCACCAACATTCTGTCACTGATGATGCTTCATCCCCAGATATTAGGATGTTTGTGAACATTCAGCGATGTTATAGCAATTTAGCTGAGTGTACCGGCTGGGCTCTGTGTGTTTGTGGATGGGCAGGTGACAGGCACCATATGTCATACATGAAAAACAGTGTTCAAGGGAAGCATTGAATGACAGATTCTGGGGTGAATTCATGGCTAAAATTTCTTCGTGCAATGATTTTAGTAGTGCGTGTACCATTTTGATATTTCTCTGCCAGCCCTCACTGTCAATACTACCAGAGAAATCACAGTGCAGACAAAAACAACAGCAAAAACGACCACTGTGAAAAGACAGCACTGTTACAATAAAGGCAAAAGTAAAAGATGATTATATATACTCAAAGTATTATTATAATGTATTAATTATTTCCAATATATCATATAAGGTACTCAATACAAATATATAGTTATTCCCATCCAGTTTCAAAGCGGCATACAAAAAACTCTCACAAGGGAAATGTCCGAGATAAATTTATAAGTAGAATTGATCAAAATCTGTACAGTGTCCAAAGCGCAAATGAGACGGGGCTTCCAGTTAATTCGCATGTTTCAGCGATCTGGTCCCTTCTTCGGTCAAGGAAACTGGCAAAGCATCCAACAAATGGTGTCACCGACAAGAGAAATTGTGAGTGCATGTCGACATAGAGAATTATGCATTGTAGGAAATACTTGACCTTGACTGTTTGTTGGATGCTTTGCCAGTTTCCTTTACTGAAGAAGGGACCGGATCGCCGAAACGTGGGAGTTAACCTGAACCCCAGACTTGCTTGCCCTTTGGACACGGTGCAGGTTTTGATCAGTTCTACTTATAAATTTCCCTTGGACTTTTCCCTAGTGAGGGTCTTCTGTATGCCACTTTGATACTGGATGGGAATAACTATATATTTTGTACTGAATATCTTATATGGACTATTTGAAATAATGAATACATTATAATAACACTTTGAGTGTATATAATCGCTTTTTACTTTTGCCTTTATGTGTAATAGCGCTGTATTTCACAGTGGTTATTTTAGCCCTCAGTGTCAGGCCGTCTTCCATTGCAGATGAGCTATTTGATGAAAATCTTTCTTACTATTGCCCTGAATGACTATATGTCACTTTTCATTGCAAGCAATCACGACTGCCTTTTAAATATTTAATCATCTCTTCTATGGGCGTGCCTGCCCACAGCCAGTTTGGTGTAGTGGTTAAGTGCGCGGACTCTAATCTGGGCGAACTGGGTTTGATTCCCCACTCCTCCACTTGCACCTGCTGATGTGACCTTGGGTCAGTCACAAGCTCTGGCACAGCTGTTCCTGAAAGAGCAGTTTGTGTCAGAGTTCTCTCAGCCCCACCCACCTCACAGGGTGTCTGTTGTGGGGAGGGGAAGGGAAAGGAGTTTGTAAGCCGCTCTGAGACTCCAAGTGAAGGGCGGGGGATCAATCCAATCTCTTCTTCTTCTTCTTCCACTGACCTTCCCAGAAGGAGACTTGGGCTCCTCTCATCCCACCTGTGTTTCTCCCCAGTTCCTCTCCCAGAATGCACAAGCCTTTGCTTCTCAGGCTAACACGTAGAAATTACCATTAAAAACCTGTTTTATAGATGAGGAAATGCCACTCTGGAGACAGGTGGGTGGCTGCATCTCTTCCCCACCCCATGTTTCTCCATCCACTTGCCAGCCGATGTGTGATTGCAAAATCCCCCACGTTTGCTCATAGTGAGTTATTTCCATAATACCACACAAATTAGATCAGGGCTGCGAAAGAAACAGAGGAAGAGTAATTTTAAAAATGCTGTATTTGAAAGTCTTGCTTTTTAGCTGCCGTCAGGGCTTGAACACCCAGCGGGTTTGGGACCTCAGGGGACATCTGACGGGAGGCAGCCAGGGTGATGTCGTGGCTGGAGAACAGGACGTGGTTTGGGGAGACCTAAATTCAAATCCTCACTTGACTATGAAGCTCATTGACTGACCGTGGACCAGTCGCCCTCACCCAGGTTGGGAAAATGTACCCATCACAGCTGACTCATGGCGACCCCGTGAGGTTCCGTCTCATGAGGCTTTCAGGGCAAGAGACGAGCAGAGGTGGTTTGCCATTGCTTTCCTCTGCACAGCAACCCCAGTCCTCGTTGGTGGTCTCCCTTCCAAGTACTATTGGGGGCTGACCCTGCTTGGTTTCTGAGAGCTGACAAGACTGGGCTAGCCTGGCTACTGGGGCTGCTGCAGCCCTACTTCACCCCACATTTATTTACTTAGAGAAAAAAATATATGGCCTCTGCGGCACAACAAGAAAAATCATTTAAAAAAAATCTCAATACCAAAAACAGGCTATAAAACAAACCAAGAACCCCCCCCCCCCCAAGACATAAACACCGAGGAAAAAACAACCAGCAGCTTAAAATGCAGTCCATTAAGCAGCCCTCGGCTAGAAGAAGAGAAGAAGAGATTGGATTTATACCCCACCCTTTATTACCCAAAGGAGTTTCAGAGCAGCTTACAATTCTCCTTTACCTTCCCCTCCCCACAACAGACACCCTGTGAGGTAGGTGGGGCTGAGAGAGCTCTTTCGAGAACTGCTCTTGAGAGAGCAGCTCTGACAGAACTATGGCTTGCCCAGGTGTCATCCAGCCAGCTGCAAGTGGAGGAGTGGGGAATCAAACCCGGTTCTCCCAGATTAGAGTCCACGCACTTGACCGCTACACCAAACTGGCAAGCCATAAACATAGCCACAAAAATATGGAACTCTTTGATTCAAAGCTTGGGGAAAGAGAAATGTTTTGGCCTGGGACCAAAAAAGACAGTAAAGTAGGGACTGGGTAAGCCTTAAGGAGGAGGGCATTCCACAGGCAAGGTGCCAACCCTGAACAGACTCTGCCTGTGACTGCCACCCGCCTCACCTCTGGAGGTGGGGGCACAGAGAGCAGGGTTTGGGAGGCAGATCTTAACTGGTGGGCTGGACTGCAGGAGGAGGACATCCTTCAAATACCCCTACCCCAGGGCACTTTAGGGCCTGAAAGGTGCAAACCACCACTTTGAATTGTGCCTGGGAACAAATGGGCAGCCACTACTGGTCATTCAACACAGGGGTGATGCAGCCCCTGAATCCAGCCTCTAACAGTCACCCAGCTGCTGCATTTTGGATCAGCTGCAGTTTCCAACGGCATCTCCATGTAGAGTGCATTGCAGTAATATCTAACCTTGATATAAACAGACTGTGGGTCACTGTGGCCACAGATCAGCCTTTTTGAGGCGCGGTCATAGCTGGCATATTGGCTGAAGATGAAGTAAGGTGCTGCGTGCCGTGGAGGAGATCAGAGTCTCCAACTGTAGGCCAGGATCCAGCAGCACCCCCACACCACAAACCTCTGGGGTGTGTGTGTGGGGTGCAGTTTCCTTCAGGAAAGGCCTACTCTGCAGTTTTTGAGCAGCTTCTCCACTGACCAATAACCCCGCAGTCTTGTCTGGACTGAGATTCAGTTTATTGGCCCTCAGCCATCCCATTACCTTCTCTAGGCACCTGTTCAGGACTTCCACAGGCTCACCTGACTTAGTTCTTAGGGAGAAATACTGCATATTGGTGGTGTATCCCCAAACAACCTCTCCCATCGGTTTCACGTAAACCTTAAGTAGCATGGGGAAAAAAATAAATGCTATGGGGCTAGCAGCAGTTACTTATCATCAGCCAGGGGTCATTTTGTAGAAAAAGAGGTGCAGGAGCTCATTAGCATAACTCATCTGCATAACTTATTTGCATATGCCACACACCCCTGACATCACCGGAAGTGTGTCAGAAGGCAACACCCACCTCTCAGGCTCCACTGGACTGTTCTGGATTGCTAGCTATTGGGGGGGGGGGACGTGCAGATCTGTCCTCGCAAAGGAGGGAGAGCTTGTACCTGAATAAAACTTGGTCTTAAAGGTGCCACTGGACAGTTTTGGACCGGGGGGGGGGGGCTCTGCAACTTACCTGGCTGCTTATTGCTCTGACTGAGGGCTGCTGGGAGCAGGGGGCAGGGCTTGTTGCATGTGCCCGCCCCCTGGACTCTTTACTGCCAGAGCTCCGCTCCTGTGTGCTCCTGCAGGAAATGACCCCTGATCATCACCTGCGGGAACCAGATAGCCAGCTAAGAGTGGAATTGCCAAAGCGTTCTGCCTCGGCTTGCCGGTCCCCAGGTGGGGGCAGCGGATCTCCTGCTTTTGTGGGTACTGGCCCACCACCAGCTAGCTGGCTGCCGGGGGAAACCCTGCCCCCAAACAGGCATCCCTGCATGACATCACTGATGCACTAACGTAACTTCCGGAAGTGACATCATTGCGTTGGCAACATCGGGGGTGGCACTCTACTTTTTGGGCAAAACTCTATGGTTTGTAGCCAGTTTTACCGTAGAGTTTTGTCCAAAAAGTAGAGCGTTGCCTCAGTATTGGTGACATCCCTGCCCACCCCCAGAATGTCCCCCAAAGTTCCCTGCCGGCAGGAGGAAGGCTCCTGGCAACCCTAATTTTGCCCCCCACTCCCAACACAGCTGACTTTTCCAGAAAAAATACCATGGTTGATGGCATTGAAAGCTATCACGATTCCAGAAGAACCGGGGGCATACTCATCCTGATACGAATTGCACTAGCACTTTATACTGTTATGTTCCATAATCGTATTCAGGGGTCATTTCATAGAAAAAGAGCTAGGGGAACTCATTAGCATAACTCATTAGCATATGCCACACCCCCTGACATCAGGGGCCCGGCGGTGGACCTGCAAGGCCAGCGGGAGTGCGAGGAAGCCCCGCCGAGGCCCTCCCTGACCCCAGGCAGGCGGGGGTGGGGAGAGGCGGGGAGGAAGCAACTTACCCTCCCTCTTCTCCTGCCTCCTTCTGGCTGAATGAGGGCTGGAAGCGGGGTGGCTGGAAGCAGGGGGCGGGGCTTCGTCATGTGCCCCGCCCCCTGCACCTCACCCGGGGGAACTGCGTTCCCCCGTGATCCCCCCCGAAATGACCTCTGATTGTATTGTTGTGGTTTTATTAATTTCTGTTTTGGTTGTTTTATATATTCTGTGTAAGCTGCCCTGAGCCTGCCTGGCAGGGAGGGCGGGATTAAATAGATCAATAAATCAATAAATGTGTCACTGCCCTGAGCAGGGCTGCCAAGGTTTCCACCAATTCTGTCACTTCTGGGTTTTCCCTAGAAGAGACATAGCGGCGCTTCCATGCCTCCGCCCCCACCACTCCTACTGGTTGTCAGGGCCAGCCTGGTAACCTGAAAAAGATCATCTGTGTGTCGGGAGGGCAATAGGATTGCCAACCTCCCGGTGGTGGCTGGAGGTCTCCCAGAATTACCGCTGATCTCCAGCCAACAGAGCTCAGTTACCATGGAGCAAAGGGCTGCTTTGGAAGGTGGACTCTATGGCGTTATACCCGGCAGGATTTCCCAACCCAGAGCTGGCAACTCTAGTGACCAATCCCATTTCCAGATTGCAGTGGGTGTAGATAATCCATCCCTTCCGCAGTTGTCTAAAGCTGCATAGCTGTCACCTGATCCAGCACCTTGTCCAGGAATGTTACGTTGCTTTCCCAACTCATCCCGTCCCTGGGCAGTAAGTCTTTTGGGGCGAGGGATGCCTCCTTCATAAGGGTTTTCCCGGCCACTTCTTTCAAAGTGGTCCGTCACAACAATTGAGACATTGGGATAAAATGGAGCCTCTGTGATTAAAGAGATAGATAAATGAAGATTCAGCTTGTCTCTCCCTAGCTAATCCTGTCTCTCTTGTACCATTGCCTGGTCACCTGAGGCCGAGAGATGAAGCTTAGGGGAAGGGCTTCTGGTGAGGGGCGGGGCCTGGTAGTATAGCAAGCAGAGTAAGATTGCCAGTTCTGGATTGAGAAATTTCTGGAAAATTTTTTGTGGGGGATGCTGGGGAGGGATTTGGGGAGGGGAGGGACCTTCATAGGGTATAAGCCCATAGCAGCCATTTTCTCCCAGGGAACTGATCTCTGTTCTACAGATTATTTGTAACAATGGGAGGTCTCCAGGCCACACCTGGAGGCTGGCAACCCTGGGGGGCAGTGTGTGTCATCTTGTGGTTCAGATGGTGGAGCCCTGAAGGTGATAAATGACTTGCAAAAGAGATAAGCTGAAAATAGCCTTGCTCTGAGATTTATTTACATTATTTATATCGTTCCTTCGACTTTTAATCCTGTTCTCTGGACAACCCAGGGGAGCTAAAACTTCTCATCAAGGCTGGAGATCTGCTGGCCACAGCTTCTTCACAGCAAATCCTCCTCCTCCTCCTCCTCCTCATCATCATCATCTCATCTGATACATGATATGATATGATAATTTGATTTCTGGGTGATGTACAACAGAGGCACAAAGACATAAAACGAATATACAAAACATTAAGAATTCAAAAGAATGAAAGTGGAATCATAGGCTAGAGTGGGTGACGTGGTATTGCCTGGCCCTTGCGTAAGATTCAAAGATTCAAATTTAACTGTTGCCACTTGATGGCCTTGGGCTAGTCCTTCATGGCTTCTGTCCACTTACTTTACTGTGGGGGTGGTGACAAACAGTGACCTGCGTCACAGGGCTGTTGTAAGAATAATGAGTGAAATGCTGAAAGCTCTGTATAAATGTTTAATTATGAGAATAAATGGTATTACTGAGTCTGGACAGCCTTCCCTCATTTTGCCTCAACTCCATTTCAGCTGTATCTGACTGTTTCCAAGACAAATTCTCTTTCCTTGGGTCAGCATGTTTTTGGCAAGACTGTGTTTACCTTTCTTTCTTGTTTTTTAAAAAGGGTACAAGTCTGGTTGAATTCTACAACCTGCATCTTTTATGCCATCTGGGTAAATTTGCATAATTTACATTTTTTACATTTTACATGATCTACATTTTTTTTGTATATAAAATTAGCAATTCTAGGTTTGATTAAGTTTTCTGAGATTTCAGCTAATGTACTTCTAAACTTACCTTAGCAGCCATAATTTGCTTTTTTTTTTTTAAAGCTGACATTAAGGAGTCTAATTGTGTATTTTTGACATCATTCTTTGTTTCTCTCCGTGCAAAATCTCGGTGTATGTAAAGGTGTATTTATGTTGGAAGCTCTGGTCATTAGCCATGGCAGCTAAATGGAACCTCTGTGTTCAGAGGCAGTATATCTTTGAATACCGGAGCTGTTGCCCTGCTTCTGGACTTCCAGGAAGCACCTGGATGGCTACTAGGGGGGGAAAGAGGGTTGGACGAGATGGTCATTTTGGTGTGATTCAGCAGGGCTGGTTGTGAACAGATGAAGCTTCCTTAGAGTGACTCACAGTCTGTGGGCCCATCTTAGCTCCGTGTTGCCTGGCTGCAGAGCCCCTGTGTCTCAAGCAGGGAAAGAGCTCTGGCAGCAGAGATGATGATAACTGGAGGTGCCGGGGACTGCGTTGGCATGCAGAGCATGTGCTCCGTCACTGAGCCACAGGGCTCCTCCTGTGCATTTGCAAAATGTTGTGATCTCCCAGTGTAGCTGAAGTCTAACATATTAAGTTGCAAGCACATAGAGGCAATTGCAGGCATATGTGACGGGGGAGGACGATTGGCTGATGCTTCCAGAAGGGGTGGTTTTTTGGCTCCCCTCCAGAGAACGCAAAGCTTTTCCGCCTCGTCCATCAGCCACAGGTGGCTGCAAGAAGGAGCAGAGAGTCTCCTGCAGAGAGAGGGACGGGCATCAGACTTCCGTGTGTGTGTGTAAGCCGGCTGCTAGATTTTCTTCCATGCTGCTTCTAGTTGCGCGGCTGTTGCGATCGTCCTTGTCGAAGGCTGAGAGCCATGCTGATGTTACGGAGATGGCCTCTGGATCTGCGAAGGATTTTTTCCTGACTGAGAAAGAGCAGGGAGAGATTATTCTTCATTCAACAAGGTGAATCTTTTTGGAACAGACTCCCCTGTGTGTGCAAACATGGACGGAGTCTCCCTGTGTAGGGCAAAGACAGTGGGATTTCCTCCCCTGGGGTTGATTTGAAACGGGTTTTGTCTGGAGAACAATGCCAACACTCAGCGCAAACATGCTTGTGCCCAAGATGACGGTGAGACGTTATTCCCGGAGAGATGACCTCGCTCAAAAGCTGATGAGGTTAGTGTCTGCTCGGGAGACATGATGGCTGGCTCTGGTGAGCAGATAGCCTGACTCTTTTGTCCTCCTCTCCCCAGTAGTTTTGCACTGAGATGATGTAGCATTTAAAGACAAGAGTTTGCAGGTTGCTTTGTTGGTCCATTGAGAGGGAAAAACACTATCCTAAAGCAGCCATACTTAGAGAGGCAGTGTAGTCGTTAGGGTGTCAGACTCGGAGCTGGGTTCAGATCCTCGCATTATCTTTTGAAGAGAGGAAGTATTGGGGTTTTTACCCCAATTTTCTCTACCTGAAGGAGTCTTGAAGCAGCTTACAATCGCTTTCCCTTCTTCTCCCCACAACAGACGCCCTGTGAGGCAGGTGGGGCTGAGAGAGTTCTGAGAGAACTGTGACTGACCCAAGGTCACCCAGCTGGCTGCATGTGGAGGAGTGGGGAATTGAACCCGCTTTTCCAGGTTAGAGTCCACTGCCCTTAACAACTACACCACGCTGACTCTTTTGTGCTCTCTGGGTGACCTGACCTGCTTCACACAGTTGTTGTGAGATAAAATGGGGGATGGAGGAAGGACAGGATAAAAATGTACTAGACAAGATAGATAACGCCACGCTCATAATAGGCCAAGTTGGAACATCAGAAAGTAGAGAGCAAGCTTTTGCTTCTTGTCAAAACTTCAGGGAGGATTTTTAGTGCAAAGTGTGTGTGTGGGGGGGGGGCAGTGAGGGGCATAACAGCAAGTCCAAATTTGCTGTGTGGTGCAGTGAGTAGAGAATGTGTTGGAGAGGCTTGCTAGGGAGGCTCAATGAAGGGAGGACGTGGCTCAGAGCTTCTGTGTGGCATGCAGGGAGTCCCCAGTTCCAATCCCTGGCATCTCCAACTAAGGGATCAGGCAGCGAGGGAGGTGAGAGACCTTTACCAGAGACCCTGGAGCACTGCTGCCAGTCAGAGTAGACAATCCTGACCTTCGTAGACTGAGGGGTCTGACTTGGTAGAAGGCAGCTTCCTGTGTTTAAGGAGGACTGCATTATTGAAAGAGAAGTCACTGCAAGGGCTTCAGAGGCTGTGAGTGGCATCTTTGGCAGAAGTTGGGAAGGTCCTTTCCCTTCCAGCATGGCCTGTTCACTACTAGCGGGGACCCAGACCCATGAGAATCTAGGAAGAGACTGGATGTCAGGGTAGACAACACTGAGTCGGAGGGACCAGTGGTTCCTATATTCCCAAGTCTTGATAAAGCCCAAATCCAGAATGTCTGTGTGGTTTGCCTCCATGGTGGGGGTTTGCCTCTATCCAAGGTAATCCCTCTGGACATAGAAGGGCTGCCTGTTGCTGCTCTGCATGAGTCACTGTTTGATATACAAGCAGTATAACTTGGAATGTTAGTTTTTTTTGGGGGGGTGGATTCCACTTCTCTGGCCTTGCTTATCTGGGGTCATCTGCCAGTGCTTCTCCTGTTTCCTGCAGTAGACAAATGGTCTACATCTGTATGAGACAAGTCAATATGTTCATAAGCCATTGGTGTGATCCAGGAGGGCTGTTCTGATGCATTCCAGGGGTGGGGATGTGCCACAACATAGTGAAGGATTCCTCTAACTTTAATTCACAAAGTTTCCCCTATCTTCTGACAGCTGAGGCAACAGTTACAGGGTTTGGAATCTTGGTGCAGGAAAAAAAAACCACGAGTAGAGCATGAGAGAGGATTTCAGTTCTGTATATGATTATTATTAGAAGAAGAGGAGGAGGAGGAGGAGGAGGAGGAGGAGGAGATTGGATTTATACCCTGCCCTTCACTTGGAGTCTCAGAGCGGCTTACAAACTCCTTTCCCTCCCTCTCCCCACAACAGACACCCTGTGAGGTGGGTGGGGCTGAGAGAACTCTGACACAAACTGCTCTTTTTCAAGGACAGCTGTGCCAGAGCTTGTGATTGACCCAAGGTCAAATCAGCAGGTGCAAGTGGAGGAGTGGGGAATCAAACCCGGTTCTCCCAGATTAGAGTCCGCACACTTAACCACGACACCAAACTGGCTCTCTGAAGGCAATTTTTACTGAAATTACTGAAGGCAATTTTTAAAAGTTTAGATTATTTTGATTCATCTAATAATTTTTCTGTTTTATTTTTTTAAAATTTGTGAAGCATTATTTGTCCAGTTTATCCCCCACACAGTGAAATCCGGGCATCTTGTAGAATAAACACACACAAAATACGGTTTAATCAGATATGCAACATGATACTCCAGTGCCCTGGGCTGATCCTGGCTCTGCCGGTGTGTCTTACTCAGGGCCACAGGCTGCGATCAAGGAGTGAAGAACAAAAGGCCACCAGGAGCCCTTGGGCTCCTACCACTAGCTTAAATACCTGTAAGAAAGGAGGGAACTACATGCTCAACCCAGGTCTCACTCAGCTGGCCGAGATGTTCACCAGCTTCTGCCCCTGCTTCTCTGCCAGGTTTGACCTCCCAAAGCAGCTCCTGTCAAGGTGCCCGCCCCCGCTGTCATGCTTGCAAAGGAAGGGGGGGAGGTAGAAGGAGGCGGATGAGCTGCTTCCCCACAGGGGCAGGAAAACCTGCCACGGCGGAAACAGCAAGAAGTGGTGTGGGAGTGGTCTGGGGTGGCATTGAAATGTCCAGCCCTGTGCTGCTGGTGGTGCCCCCCACCCCACCCATCTTCCTCACCTGTCACATCTGTGCAAAAAACAAACATGGTAAACAATGTGCCAGCCTCCTACCCCAGCTTGGCAAACCCCACTTTCTCAGCTGAGTCATTGGGAAAGCTATAGCATGGTTCAGCTGGGGGGATAAAAGAAGCCCTTTAGAGGGCCCAAAAGGAGGGGGAAAGTGGAGCTTAGCTCTCCTCCTTCCTTGTACTGCCTCTGGGTGGAGCATCCACATGGATGCTGCACTGGCAGCCACCCTTCGGTTCTTGTGTGGAACCAGATCACAGGTTCATAGGTAGTCAGGATGAGCATGAAGTTTTGGGGATGCTCCTGTTTAAACTGGGGGCTTCCTGTGTTCAATACAGGGGGAAATCCCTCTATGGAAGCAAAGGAGGTGTCAGCACTTATTGTGGCCAGCCTCATCCATCTTTGCTCAAGTTCTTCCTGAAAGCATGGGCCCCCTGCTCTCCAACTTATCTTGGACCTCTGGAAGAAGCCAGAGTGTCATCCCCTCTCACTTAAGC